CATCATCATCATCATCATCATTGGCAGACACCAAATAAAAACACTGGTGGTTCCCTGCCGTACACCTACAGCGATATCGCCAACAACGGAATGAAAGGGAGGACAAATATGTGAAACAAAAAGAAGGGAGGCGCCCTCAGTAGTCTGTTTTTGCAAACGCACTTTGCTGTATGCTGTGAGAATGGCGTCGTGACTGATGGCAAAACGCAAAGGCCAATGTGGCATAAGTGTCAGAGTGGAACTCATGGTTGTGCGTGGGCTGCAATACTGCCAGGACTCTTAATCTGACCAGAAGAAGGGTTATTGTCCCCAACCGAAGCCCTTGGCTCAAAAGGCTAAGCGCAAGCCAGAGTTGATTTGCGTGAGACTGTTAGAACAGACTAAATCTTTACGGATCAAGTTGCCACGCACTTTCGAACCCCCAACCTCAGGCAGCGAGAAAATGTGCTAGTCAAGCCCCTACTCATTGCCCAACCTAGTATCGGCGCCTGTGTGGGTATCACATACATGCACTCGCCAGTACAAATCACTGGGTTGTACAGGTGCCCAAGCTGCGCAGAGGTCCAGTCTCTTCGTCTCTTGATTACGTCATTGTTGGTCGATTACTGAGTCGTGGTCATTGGCTTTCTCAGTTCATCCTAAGGGTTCACATTATGTACCGATTCAAAAAAACAAGTCTCACGTATCCTCAGACTAAGACCATTGTTTTACTTGCCAATATATTCGACACTTGCAATTCCAGAGACTGTGAACACTATGACCGACAGTGTTTGATCAGACTGTACCCCTGAAACTCAGGTGTCCTTGAAATTACAAATTTCCATCCCTTTTATCGACTTTGGCCTTCAGACCTATATTGATGGAGGTTAGATACAGAACTTTTTACCAGCATCCAACGACAAAATCGATCCATTCGTTGTTTGCTGACCTTTAGTTTCAATGATCCAGTCGGTCTGATTTATCGATCGTTGCGCTATTTCTAATGACCAGACTGGATTTTACTCCTATACTGACCATCCAGTCCTAAATTTTGGGATAAATTCATTCACATGATGAAGTTAGACGCAGACAGAGCAATGATCAAGGCGCAGAATTACTGACCCAAAATCTGTGGTTCAAACCCAGCCTCTGCGTCTCGGCAGCCCCCATCTAAGCTTGGGCAAAGTGTCATACCGTTAGCCCAAATCATTTTTTCAGCTGGTAAAGCAGCTAAACACCAGTGAACAATCACGTGATTCATTAACAAAACGGTTTTGACAAGTTCCCTAATGTGGAATTTGATACCTGCCAAAAAATGCTGGAGACGAATGTGAGCATCAGGGGAAATCCACACACTGGACAAAGCAGACGGCCATTGGCAGGTCCCATAAAAAAATGTCTGCATTTCATTTATGCAATCGAAATGGCGCTTGTTTTTGACTAACTGATCGATAGGTTGCTCGGGCGACTCGTTTTTTCACTGAAGTTGGGACTGGAAACAGCTTGTGTAGGTTTGTGTGATCACAGATGACAAGTAGCAAGGTGAATTCTCGTCACCGTACTTTAACGTTCCAAACTGGATGGAGAGTTTCGGTTCGGCTACAGCCAATCCGTAGCAGCCTCGTTATTGGTCAGTTTCCGGATCTCTGACGAAAGGTGAGATCGATAAAACGCAGTGAACGAAATTGACGCGTTTTTTTAGCTTTTAGCGTCAACTACTCTAATTACACTCCAGATGGTAGGTTGTTCCTGATACTGAACCACGCTGGGGGAGGGGGTATTGAATCACGTGAAATCGTACGTTTCTGTTGAATTAATTTGTACAGTTCTAGGTCTAATTACGAGCAGTTAACAGTCTTGTCCAACCACAGACTAATACCTGAGCATTCTGTTCAAACTATATTAAAACTATGAAAAATATCGCAAACAGGGGATTCATGTTAGTTTGTAATGCACTACTCATAAGGTTGCTGAAAACTCCTCGACAGCCCACGACCGATTTCGCCCTTTTTGGGGTCCATCAGGTAGGCTCAATCCACGAGTTTTCGTCAACCTTATGTTCTACTTGAAACCGAATCTCACGAAATTAGCCTGGAAACATCAAAACCGAGAGATCCAATTGGGTTTTGGGTGAGTCTCTCGAAAAAAACGAATTAGTTTACAAAAGAGTGTACATTCGTTAACATTCATGTTACTCTCTCGTGAAAAGCAGATTTCAACTGAGTGAATTTGTAGAATTTTGTGTAGAGCATAAAGTTGACTCAAGGACTGTACCTACCCGATAATATTTATGAAGGACCTAAATGGTCATGGGTTGTCGGACAGTTTCCATCAACCTTATGAGTAGTTTACTTCGTGAAAATGTGTTTAGAATAGCTTCTCGGAGGTGCAGTCAGCGGTATGCTAAGGTTGCAACTCCGCAGTGACAAATATTCGATCGATCGTTTTACTGAGACCCATTTTGGAAATGCGTAATATTCCGTATCACGGAATTATCCAACGCTTGGCTTGGAAGGGCGCAGCGGTCTAAGACTTACTTCCAAAAGGAGACTGTCAAATTCAACTTTCGTGAGGATGTCGGCATACACAGAGGGACAATCAGAAAGTGATCAGCATGATCGAAGATCATCCAAACTACTCGGTTACCTGTTTAACTCCTCACGAGAGTTTGAGCCAAAACTGGCTTCTGGATACCTTCTAGTGATGCTCACCGGTTGTTCTTGATTGCCGGCACTGACTGAAAAACAAGTTCCGGACGTCAAGTCATTCGTTCTGAGGCTGTTGATTCACACCAGGAACTTCCCTCCCAAACTGAAAAAAAACTGAAAATGTATTCTTACAAAAGCGAATATTAATCAGATTCGCGATAGATTCTCACACGACTGATAAATTCAGTTTATTTGTTTGAGTACGCGAGACAGTGTACCTTCTCAGACACCTTAGACTTAGTAATATAGTAGCGAAGCTACCTGAATTACGGGACTAAGTGCATTAGAATTTTTCTCCGAGCAGAGAGACAAGACAAAAATTCTCGTTGACTTTTCTTTTCTCGGTAGATTAGTACTGGAATTTACCGAAACGAATCGCCCCAGACTGAGCCGCCACGTCCTCAGGATGACGATCAGTGAGGACATATAAAAAAAATTGAGTGTGAACCTCACTTTGGAATCTCGAGCCATTAAAAAAATTAATGATTGGAAAAAAAACCTCAGTAAATAATTATTATATATATATATAATAATAAATTTATCACGGGGTTAGGTATCAAAAACCTTTGTTATCTGGATTAAACTTTGTGATAGCGACGATGGAAACGTTGATTTTATTGATACAAAAGCCTAATGAATTTGCGTAACCACCTTTCAGTTTTCATGAAGGAAACTACTCACAAGGTTGCTGGAAACTCTTCGACAGCGCACGACCGGTTTCGCCCATCTTGGGGCTCATCAGGTAGGCACAGTCGCCGAGTTTCCGTCAACCTTACGATCTACTTGAACTCAAATTGGACTGATTGCGATAAATCCAAGCATTTGCAAATCAGTTTGGTTTTTCACGGAAGACTCAAGTGAATCTCCCACTGAAGTTATGTTTGTGAAGGGATGGTTTGTGATTCCTTTGTTGCGGCAAAAAATTAGACCTGAAACATCCGGTTTTCCCTAGATTGCCNTCACAGGGTTGCTGAAAACTCTTCGACAGCCCACGACCGGTTTTGCCCTTCTTGGGCTCATCAGGTAGGCGCAGTCCCAGAGTTTCTATCATCCTCATGTTTTACTTTCAGTTTTTTCAGTCTTTCATTCAGGAACGACCTCTGGTGTCAGCGAAGGCATCATCAGATAGAATGTAAAACAGGATATGTATATCGTTGTCTTAAGGTAAGTGTACAACCAGAAATTTCTAAGCAGTCTACCAAAGTGGGCAGCAAATTACTTGAGCCAAGTACGGAAATTTCCGAAAAGTGCTTTTAATATTAGATATATGTTTGTATATCATATATGTCATCCTATTTAATATATATTTATATTTATGTTTATATTTATATTTATATTTATATTTATATATATTTAATATATATATGNNNAAGTTCACATTTTCCTACAAATTTTTCCGATCGATTGAAGTCATGGATTCGTTTGCGATCGCTCCACACAATTCGCGTTTTGACAACTTTGGGGTTTGGTTGGGTGCGGCAGAACTGTCGACTCCAGAATAACGATCCACCAGCCTGGTTCAGCCCGGCCGTTTACGCATCGAAGGCTTATAAATGTGAAACTCACACAAAGGAGCAAATAAATCAACAAGCGATTAACATTTTTGTCCGTGTGAACATAACGGCTAATGATGAAGGAAACTGCACCACTTCACAGCCTCTTAATTGTTTGCAACAGCATTTAGCACTCAGGAGAAGGCGTCAGAATAACCGGCGTGGTTCTGATGGCCAACCAAATATGCCCGATGTGAATTGGCTAGAATACCTGTACGTCTGTTTACCGGGGAACATGAGGTAACTTAGTAAATTGGTTCTTGTGTCCCACGTGTCCAATCTGGAGGGCGATGGTTAACTTGAATGTTTAGTGCCAGTCATGTGAATAAAATTATTTGAAATTGTAAATACGTTTTTTCTGCCAGTGTGACATTCACTAAGATATGACCTTATCCAGAGTCTACCAACTTTTAGGAATGAAACCAAAAGACTAGAGTCTGCAACATAAATCATTGAAAGTACACCCCCACAAACAGCTGATGATCGAAAGACACTCAGCTGTAATCTAATTTGGTTTGAACGAAAGACTCAGCTGAATTCGTGTTGACGCTCTCCTTTATGATGCTCTATAAATGGACGCCCTTTGAAAAAATATACTGCGATATCTCGGAAACCGTGCCAGCTGTAACATGAGGCGGCCTGAGATAGCATGCTCAGTTGAAAGATATCATGAACGTGAGATTCAGTTGTTGACTTTTGGGTTGACGGAAACTCGTGGACTGCGCCTGGTAAGTTCCAAGAAAGACCAAACCGGAAGTGGGCTGTCGAAGAGCATCGAGCAACCATGTAGATAGTTTCTTTTATGAAAATAGGTCAAGGGAAACAGTACACAGGGCAACAGTCAACAGGGATGTGGTCATGACTCAATGCCTGTCGTAAAAAGACTGGACAAAGCTAGTCACAATTTGACGCGCTTACACTGGTGTAGATTGGATGAACGACTCCAGTGAGCAAATATTTTGGGGTAACAACTTTTTTGGACGATAGTCTGGAACGACAACCAGTGTTTCCAGTTTGATAAACGTTACCCATCCATATATATGTTGCTTGTACCTTACTTAAGTATAGTTTTAAAACTTTTTGGAAACCTACCCCATATAGCTTCTCCGTCCACGCACTCTCTGGTCGCAACTTCTTCAGCTTGATAAGGTATATGCTCAGTGCCACAAGCTGTGTCGATTGTTCATAACAACGCTCGACCCCAACAGCAGCCTACCCAAAAAGCTACACGACTGCACGCGTGAGTCACGTGATATAAAGCATTCGTCTTTCCTAAGCCTGATCTCTACTCACCAAGGTTGAAGTGTTTTGCTGAAGCGGCATAAAACATTACCAGCGGAGTGTGAATAATATTCACCAATTAGGGAGGAACTGCCCCGGTGCCTCATGTGAACGAGAACTCAAAGAGCAGCATACTGATATCACTGCTGAAGACAAACAAATCCCTCGATAAAGTACTCAAAAAGTAAATATGAGTCTGAAAACCGAATGCAAACGGAGAACCAGTGGTTTTTGGGGCAAAAAAGTGAATAGATGTAGTCGATCTGCATGCAAAAATTAAAACAGTCACAGATGACGGACAACTCACAACTTAACCTGTCGTGGGCTGTCGACGGATTTTCAGCAAACTTGTGAGTATTACATTGCAAATATATACATGTATCGCGATATCTCGAATA